CCGACCTCTTTTGTGGGCCCAACATGCCAGTCGCGTGCCTCAGGTTCTGTGGTTGGGACTGTTTGGGGGTCGATTGGTGTCTGGATAGCACTCATGACCTGTCTAGTCCCGCGTGCCAGGGATGGCTCGCTGAGGAACTGACTCGGACAGATTTCATATGTGCTGCCTTTGACTGTTCTACCAAGAGCCGGGCCCGCGAAATCCCGAGAGTTTTTGCGGATGGGTCGGAGGCTCCACCGCCCCTCGGGTCAGAAGAGCATCCTCTAGGGCTACCGGGCCTCTCGAGCAGGGATGCTCGCAGAGTTAAGGTAGACAACGAAGCCTGTGCCTTTGTCCTGCAACAGATCCAACTTCACAGAGCCCGAGGCGGGGCATCAGTGAGAGAGAACCCACAAAACAGTTTGCACTGGTTTTTACCAACAGAACTGGACATGTGGAGCAAGGGCCATTGGCAGGACTTTGATTATGACGCCTGTGTTTTTCAAGGTGCTAGATGCAAACGGCAGAGGCTAAGGCACAACATAGAGGAAATCGACATGAAGGTGGCAGTCCAGTGCCGTCACATCCACTCCAAGGAGGAGTGGAAACCCTTCTTGGTGGATGGGAAGAGGCACTTCACGACGAGGCGGAGTACACAGCTGCTCTAGCTTACCGCATTGCGGTGTCTGCTTCGTGGTGGGCAGCCAGAACAGGCAGAGCGCAGTTGCGTGTCCCCCGCTCTCCGCCAATCAGCTGTACGGGTGATCGCAGAGCATGGCTTGACTGGGATTCCCGTGCAACCAGACAGTGGTCCATGGTATCTACGGCAGTGCTGTTGGGCTTGGACCTCAGCAGCAGTTTTTCCCTTAGCCATATACCACGGCGCCGGTCAGTGTCTGAATTTGACTTGGAGGAGCTTAAGCAGTCGGGTCTTCCGGAGGGGCACATCTATGTTGGTCCTGGACATCATTCGCACAGGCTGCCCAGCACACGCTGGAAAGCTAGATTCGTGCCAGGACAGCATGGATCACGCGAAGAGTGTTTTCTCTTGTACGTGCAGTGGCTCAAGACCTCAGAACTTCCCGGCAAACTGGAGGAACTCTACCACCAGACCCTAGTCTGCGACTGCGCGCCGCACCAGCTCTGCCATGCTGATGCTCTCATTGCAGAGGCTGCTACAACCACCATCCCACAGGTGCGCAAGGCACGAGGTGGTCTTCCCCGCGCAACAGGGCGCCGCTGGGTCTGTTTGGCAGGGATGCCAACAGCACAGTCCATGCCTTGGACGCCGGGAATGCACTTTGTCCAGGAGGAGGTGATTGCCGCGTTCCGGAAGCTGTATCCACCGCAGTTTACTGCGGGGCTGAAGGAATGGCCGCTGGTGGAGGACTTGCTCAATCAGCCACCCTTCACTATCTACAAGGATTGGAGACTAGGCAATGGGCTGCAAGTGGACGGGGAGCTAGGCCCCGCGTTTCTGGATCGGCAAGGCCTCTTTGCGAGCCGAGCGGGAGCTGGGCTACAGCAGGGAGCCATGGCGCATCGTGCGGCCCTGCCGCCAGTGGTCTCCTACGGTCTGGATCCTAAGCAACCGCCGGGAATCCTGTCGACTGCGAACATGTGGTCCGGCCATGAAATGATCAGGAGGAGCAGGGCTACCAGTGCAATATGCCTAGTTTTGGTGACTCTAGCAACCCCTGGAGGCTGGAATTGCCGTAGGTGCTTGGTCACCACCTGCCATCTCCGTGACAGCTCCTTCAACACTCCTAGGTTCCGCATGCGGGCTGCTTCCAGACGGCCTCGATGCTCCCAGGTGAAGTCTGCTGCAAACAGGAGGTCGTGGTCAAGGCAAATGGGTTGCTCCGTGGGGAGTGTCTGGCCTGCTGCTGTGATGGCTGCTTGGAAATGCAAGTCCCGCTCCCCCGTGCGGGGCCTTTGCGCCCAGAGACGTCGACCCTATCCATCTGCAATCCCTTTTTGCGGACGTGGACACCACCAACGCCGCTCTTCTATCCCGGCTCAGGCCAGGAGCGTTGGATGGCATCATGTTGGAGTCGGGGTTGAAGGATGCCAGCAAAGGGTTTGCAACAGAACCCCTCACATGGGAACAACTGCAGAGGCAAGTGCAGCGTCGGCCAGTGAGGCTGATCCCTCGTTTTCCTATCACTCAAAGCACTGGCAAAGTGCGGCCAATTGATGATGCTGACAAGGGTGGCCAGAGCGAATATCAGCTGATGCCAACCACCTAGAGTTTTGCTCGGCTCTCCGGCCGGCACAGCACGGCGCTACAACAAGCTGCGGTCCTCCAAGGAGGCACCATCGCAGGCATTCCTGACCAATTACACAGTGCAGGGGAAGATTGGCCAGACGCATATCGCCTGGTGCCAATGATTCCCCAGCATGCGGAAGCATGTGTGGTGGTCTTTTGGCACCCGGAGTGGAACAGTCCAGCATTCCAGCTGTACAGTGGTATGCTCTTTGGGTTGCCAATTGCAGTCACTTCCTTCAACCGATACAGCAGGCTGTGCGAGGCCCTGGTTCGTCGCTTCCTAGGTGTGCTCTTCTCCATGTACTTCGATGACTGCACCATGCAGGACTGGGCGAGCTCCAACGGCTCCGCTCAAGTGGCCGTGAAGGGATTCATGGCCGAGCTGGGTACTCCTTGGGCCGACGAGAAATCTCAGCCTTTTTCCAGTGAAGGCGACTTCCTGGGTCTGATGCATAACCTGGAGCACCTCACCACAAAGCAGACAGTAACCTTCTGGCCCCGAGACAGGTTGGAGAAAAAGGTGATCCACTTCATCCAGGAAGCCAGGTCAGCAGGGATGCTGAAACCAGGCGCTGCTAGTAAGTTGTTTGGCTGCACCAACTTTTTCCAGGAAGGGATTTTTGGGAAAGTTGGGAAAGCAGGGTTGGGGGCTCTCAAGGATAGACAGTATGAGCGGACGTCTGCGTTGACACCGGCACTGGAAAGCGCTTTCCAATTGCTTGAGTCAGTTTTGGCAGAACGTCCCAGACGCCTTTGGTCACTAGCCCCAGCCAACCCACGTAGGTTCGTAGTAGCCTCAGACGCTGCGTTGGAAACCCCCAGGCAGGGAACGGCAGGCTTCCTAGTGGTGCTCGATCCTGGGCTTGCTAGTGAAGCTAGGCTGGGGCATGTGGTTCATGTGCCCCAGACGTTGTACGACTCCTGGCGGGCAGATGGGTGGCACATAGCACAACTGGAACTGCTTATGGTACTTGCAGCCCTTTCCGTGTACCCCGAGCATTTCCGAGGAAGAACAGGACTCTGGTTCTTGGACAATGTCGCTGCTCTGATGGCCGTGGTGCGCGGCCGTTCAGATACCCCTGACCTTGATCAATTAGCCATGCTTACACATGCTGCGATGTTCGGGTTAGAGACGTCCATTTATTTTGAGTGGATTCAATCCAAAAGCAACTGGAGTGACGCCATTTCAAGACTTGGAGCGGATGACCCATGGTCCCAACTCAATCAGTTTTACGTACAGCAGAGCTTCTTCAGACAGGAACTATGTTTACTCCCCATGCGAGCATGTATCAAAGTGTTTAGTTTCATGTGAAGTGCATTGGGTGGAGCGCAGAAAAGACCGGTCGTCTTGCGTGTGTGAAAGTGCGTTGGGCTAAAAGCTGGGGGTCCAGCTGGATACTGCTGCACCTCAGTAGCATAGCTGAGGGCAGTCAGTGACCAATGCATTAACATTCATACACAGCTGACATGCTTTTGCCTGGGGGAAAAGTGTGTGTCGGTCTCGCGCTTATGTTTCCTCTGAACGTGTTCCATGTTAGTGCTTGGCAGGCCTTGGGTGACATGGCATCATTCAGGGAACATGTAAGCTTGAGTCAAAATGTGCTCGCCGTATGGGGGCCATTTTGGCTCAAGCTGAGCCAAAACAGCTTTCTTTCCCACCCACCCAACCCTGGGGCGAGTCGCCTAAAAGGCCTTCTCGTCATTGGGGTGTGGCAGGCCACGGTCCATGCATCAGTTGGAATGCTGATGAATAGGGACGCGGGGCGGCTGCCACTTCCAGCTGCACCCCATCTCCTTTCTAGCGTCAGGCCCTCTTGCGATTCAGGTGCTGTGCCCGTTTGGGGAGAGGCCTGGGCTAAAAGCTGGGGGTCCAGCTGGATACTGCTGCACCTCAGTAGCATAGCTGAGGGCAGTCAGTGACCAATGCATTAACATTCATACACAGCTGACATGCTTTTGCCTGGGGGAAAAGTGTGTGTCGGTCTCGCGCTTTATGTTTCCTCTGAATGTACATATATATATATACATATATATATATAGACATGTCGCGTTTGGGAATATCATTATTTTCTTTGTGTTTTGAGGATAGGCAGTTCGTTGCGGTTGCAGTTTGATGGTACGTGAGGTCACAGGTCAGGAGATCTGGTAGGTGCCACTTTGCCTCGGCAAACAAGTTACGGCGTGGACGGAAAACAATCTCAGATGCCACCCCTGAAGGCTGCGGAGTATCCGGGGTATCTCGATGTTTTCTGCGGACGCGGACAGTGAGGTTTTCCATTTTCGGTGAGAGGGTACTGTACATGTCGTGTTGCTTCACGGATGTGTTGCCTTGGTCCTTCTGTTGCCGCATCCTGTCCAACATGTTCCGTACCCTTAACCTGAAGAGGACGCACAAAACCGATGGCGCCGGAGAGCTTGACCATTGGAGCTCTGCTCAATTTTGTTTACGTTTAATAGCTCACTCAAAATGGGCCAGGCGCGAATTGTGCGGTCCACCAGATGTGGACCAGAGTCATGTGTTCTCGCGGGTAGCTGAGATAGGCGCCTCTCACAGTTCTTGTTTGGCCGCAAGCGGCCTTGAGGCCTGAACTTGGCCTTGCCGATCAAACCCCTTCTAGGTCCCCCAGTAGTGCCCTTCTCTCCCCTTTTTTTGGGGGAGGGTTCCCCTACTAAAATAGACCACAGACAAAAATCGGGTACCCTTATTCTAAGCTCTCCACTGGAGGTAGCCTTGGAAAGCCACCGGTGCCAGGCAACAGTTGAAGGAGGAGAAGGAGGCGCAGGAGGAGCGGCAAAGGCTGCAGGAGAAAGCGGACCAGCACCTCGTCCATGGCTGGTCCTTGTTTCCGTTTTGTGGGGGGAAGGGTTTCCTTTTCCAATCTATTAAGAACATGGCAGCTGGCCAAGGTTGCTCAAAGTCAGTCCTTCATCTTCTGCCAGATGGTAGTGACCTGGTAGTGGTGTTTCTCGTTGTCTTGTTGTCCCAAGATGCACACCCTCCCCTCCCACCACCATAGCGGAGAGCGGACATGAACGATCAAGCCTTGTCCTGGACCCCTGGCGTGTGGTATGTTTGTATGTTTAGTGGGAGAGGTATGGTGTGATATGAAAGTCATGAAAATGAGGAATACAGAAGTCATGTGTGTTTGGTGCGCAGTGTGTTGCATGCAGCTCTAGATTCGTAAACCTGATAACTGATAGATTTGTTTGGGGTGCAACCTGCATCAACATCAAGGATCACTGCCCAAAAGGCGGTGTTCCTATTCATCAACGCGGAGAATTTGGATTTCCCGCAATGAATTGAGCCCAGCGGCTGATGTACTCGAAGGGGTTGGGTTTGAGTATGCTATTTCAGTACTTGCAAGCGTTAGTGTAGATACTTCTTTGGATTCTTTGTTTTTTGTTTTTTTCCCCTGCAGAACCGCTGTTCGCTGCTGTTGAGTTTATTTCCTTTTGGCAACTGGGCGAACGGAAAAAAGGTATAACCCAGGAGGAAGCCACCTTTCTTTCCTGCTGCGTGTTTGGGTTGGACTTGCGTGCGTGAGTGCGTACATGGGTGGGTGTGTGTGTGGGTGGGTTGGTGGGTGGGTGTGTGGATGGGTGGGTGGGTGGGTGGGTGTGGGCGGGTGGGGGTTGTTTTGTTTGCTTGCTTTTTTGTTTGTTTGCCTGCCTGCCTGTCTGTTTGTCTGTGTGTCTGTCTGTCTGTCTGTTTGTTGCCTGCTTGAATGCTGGTTTGGTTGGGTGGGTGAGTTTGTTTGTTTGTTTGTTTGTTTGTTTGTTTGTGCGAGTGCGGGTGCGGGTGCGGGTGTGTCTGTCTGTTTTGTGTTTGTTTTTATTGTTTTTGCGCGCGCGCGCGTGTGTGTGTGTGTGTGTGTGTTGTGTGTTGTGTGTGTGTGTGTTGTGTGTTGTGTGTTGTGCGTTGTGTGTGTGTGTGTCGGTTTAACGTTGTTGGGCCCCCTATTTTGAGAGTATATATTCATTTGACTGCAACTGGCAGATGTCAGGTGTGGCTGAGATGCATTCGGCCCGGCACAAGGCTAGAAGAGGAGATGAAGGAGAAGGAGAAGAGGCGCGCGATCTCGGAGTTTTGGTCGGTAGCTACCGAGGGTCGCTTGGATTGCGGTCAGTTCCTGACCCACGACCACGAAGCGAAGGACTTGAATCAGACAGTTCGTTTGAAGCTGTTTACGAAGCCCAATGGAGGGGCCCCAAAGGGCACATCTGATCAATTCTCCGAAGGCTGCCAAGCGCAAGCATGATGAGGCTGATGACTGAGCATGCGGACGTGGGAGATTCGAGTGGCTTTGGAGTGAAAGAAGAGAACCAGATGGGCAATATGTTGAATGAGGAATGCCCTCCCAAATGGTTGGTGGACACAATCCCAACGTAAATGATAATGCTTGCCAAAGGGTCCCCAATTGAATTTTCTGACCCATACAATTTCACGTGCTTATTGGCAACAAGCATGCAATCACGTTTCCCAACCGCAGCACAACCAATAGGAGGCTTACACGAGGCGCCGGCTGTAGATTACGCTCCGAAGCTGGCGCCTGGTTTATGTGGTACCCCCGTGGGGGCTGGTTCTCAACATGGTGAACGTTGGCGGAAAGTCGGTTTGCCTTTTTACCGCATGAACGCCCAAGAGTTATGTTGCGCGCGAAGAATATGAGAAAGGGCAAATCCCCTTCTTGTCTGCGCAGTGCGTCATGCAAGTATTTGCTGGCTGAGAGCAATCCCAGCGAAGTGCTGTGATGTGTTGCCCGAGGTACCCACATAAACATACAACATACATATTAAACATTTATATGTATGAGTATCCGCCAAAATCATCGGTAGTTCTCGGTAGTATTCGGGGCGCCTTGAGGTCAAAGGTCGACACACCAATGCGGGACCTCCGATACCTCCTTTCTAAACCTCAAACCACCAAAGCCACAAAGGGGCCACCCAGCTTCCCGCACAGGATTTTGTCCCCTACCCAAATTATATATATATACATATATATATATATAGACATGCTGCACCAGCATTCACGGGGTGACTCTCATTCGGGAAGCACCTTGGATTGGAATGAACCAGCAGGTTGCCTTCGAGGAAACTACTGGGTACCGGGGATGGCGAGTTATTTCCTTGGACGACGGATCCTTGCAGCCGATGAAGTGAACCAATCCAGGCGCCGGTTCCAATATATCCCTCCAAGTCTTCCGCGATGCTCTCTTCGCGACCCCTAAGGGCCTAGCAATTCTCCCGGGAAAATGGTTCTCGACCCCGTACCCATTTGGTGGTTTGAATTGAGGCTGAATGGGAACCGGGGAAAAAACAATCCAAAACCACCCATCCGAATCCTAATCCAGCAACCCATCCCAATCCACCCAGTCACCCCCCTAGGGTTCAGCCCCCATTAAAAGAATGGGTGACCCAATTTGCATGATGACAATCCTCAGGTGAACAATGGTTATGTGAACCCCCATTCTTTTCCTGGTTCTTTGAACCCCAGTCACCCCCTGTTTGGGAAGCTGACTCGCTGGCCGTTTCCGTTGGATCCACCCCCATTCTTTTAAAACTGTTCTTTGAACCCTAGTCACCTCCTTGGAAAGCTGCCTCGCTGGCCGGTAGATCCGTTGGATCCGTTGGCCAGGTGGCAGCGGACGGTGGACCGCCTGCAGCGCCAAGTCACCGAGTTCACCAAGAAGAACTCGGAGCTCCAAGAGGAGGCCTCGCGGCCTTTGCGTGCGAGCGTTGCGTCGAAGGTGTGGGGAAATTTGGAGGGGACGAAACCAAAGTGGATCCCAGTTACGCCCAGGTTTTGGGGCAACTGGAAATTCTGGGCATATAGGATCGAATCTAACTATCTTCCTTGAAAACCAACCACTTTCCCGTGGACATAGTAGATACCCAGCCAGTGCCCTTGTTTTTTGTTTGTTTGTAAAGGGTGGTTATGTTGGGTACCTGCTATACACCAAGACTTGATCCACTGGGCTTGGCTGCGATGGGGTAATGTTAAGATTGGTGTTTTGGGGATGTGCCGTTTCCCCGGCGGAAGCAGTTCCTCTGTTTGCGCGGGGGGAATCGCACCGAGAAGGATTCGGCCGCAGAAGGCCTCAGAAAAGGCCGCCGGATAAATCAACCAAGAGGAATACTCCCAGTTGCCCAGCGGTGCCCTTTTTTCAATTTGGGGTAAGAAGTCCCCTTGAATCTCAACCAACAAAAAACGGGGTACCCTTTTTTCCCCATGGAAATCCACGCATCTGAGAATATATAGGGGTGTTCGATCCCATAGTGAAGGATCGAAGAATGGCACACTCTCGTTCATCAGTGCTTCCAAACAGGCGCGCATGGTTTGCATGGGATCTTTTCCGCATAACTCTAGGGGTACCTTCCCCATTCTTTCCAGTCTTTTTAGGAAACCATCAAACACCCAGGGGAAACAGCCGGTTTTTGAAAAGAACGATGGTTGAAAAGAATGGAAAAGGAATCAACCCCTAGAATAACCTGAAAGGTGTCCTCTGGACTGGTCCTCAAAGAACCCTCCGGGACTGCAGGCGTCTGGAGGCTTCCAGTCTCAAGCCGGGCTTTCAAAGGTTTCGAGCAATCGCAGCGCCGTACTGCCGGGGCGGGCCCAAATCACCCAAAAGAACAAAGATGTGTTGCCAAGTGTGTCTCTTCATGCCTCCACCACTGCTCTTATGATCTATGCGAGCATCCGCAGGAAGCGCCACATGCCTCGCAGGATGCTGCTTTGGGTTGGTGTGACTTGGGCTATTGCTCAGGTGATTTGCTTTCAGCTTTCAGGCTCACTTAGATCTGCGCTTCTCGGTCTCATTCCCAGTGGTTGCCAGCCTTGCCGCTGTGATTGGCCTGGCCTTTGGAGTTCTTTGCTTCAATGAGCTTCATGGCCAAAAAGCTGCGCCTTGTCGCCGGCCTTGGCCTCCTACGGATCCCAGGTGTGGTACTCATGGCAGTTTCGGCCTCACCCACGATCCACACAAGACCATCCAGGGCCACCCTGTCGCAGACACTCACTAGAGATTCAGTAAAAATTGCACTCGAGGCTCTCACTTGGATGAGACGGCTCAGCAGGAAATGGCGGAGTTGCGTGCTTCTTGCCATTGCCTAGAGACTCAGCTTTAACGCATGTTTATTGAAGTGAGCCGTGAGACGGCTCAGCAGCAATTGGCTGAGTTGCTTTTGCATGCTTTGTGCCTGCCAGCAGCGAAGCCCACACTTCAGCCGATGGCTGCGGCCATGCTGCCTGAAACTTTCCCAGTAACGAGGATTGATGGTAGGAAGCACTTTGTCGTACCGGTCCTCTTCTCGCTTTCTCCGCGCATGTGAGCCAATCGCGTAGTGTCTAGACATTTTCGGGGACAGCTTGGAACAGACTCGCGGCAAGCGTCACCTACGATTCAAAAAGTCCATAAAAAGTCTAAGCTACCTAGGGTGAGCATTTTCGACCACGCTGATGCAATGAAAAATCAAGAATCATCCCTGGGAAGAACCATTCCAAAGACCATCAGTTTGAGCCAAGACAACACCTGCAATGATGCCAAGCACCTCACAACAAAATAATCCCAATGGAGCATCATATAAGTCCCACACAAACGCCAAAAACAAGAGGAAACAAGTGGGAGAGTCTCCATCGCGGCCAGGTGAAGCGCCTGAACCAGCAAGCGGCGCAAGCCCAGCAGTCCAGCTGGCTGAAGGCGCCAGCGGGTGTTGGATGGGAAGGCACCAACGGTGAACTCGCCAACGGTCAACTTACTTCCTGACTTTCTTTTGATACTTTTTGGGGCCATTTTAGCATTGCTGAAGGACCCCTTGGTTCCCACTTGCCGCCACGTGAGTTAGTTGATCGGCATGTTTGAACGCCTTGCACTGCTTGCACTGCTGTGCTTTGCTGAGGCGTAGCACCGGCATAACTAGCTGTTGAGCCTGAGTTGCCCGATAGGGTTTCGAGCACCTCGCATGAACAACGAAACATGATGTTCCCTTGTTTCCAAGCTGTCTCCTGGCTCCCGAACAAAACTTACAAGAAGAAGCTATCCCACAACACTTGCCAAGACCTTACCAACTTACAAAACAACCCGTACCAGCATTTGTTTACCAACTTACCAACACTTACCAACTTCTCAAAAGACAGGGTTCCTTTCAGCATTGACCCGCTTGCCAGCAACACTTGCCAAATCCAACAAAGGCGTGTCTTTCTTAAGGCACCCAAAAATAATGTGATTTTCCTTTTGGCTTCCCTTTGAAGCGGGGGGTAGCCTCGCAAAAGACACCCCCGCTTGCCAACAGAACCGACATTCCAGACCGAGGAGGTGGCTGCCGCGAAGCGCGGGCTGTCTGCCAACCGGAAGCGCAGCGGCAGACAAGACCTCAGTGGCGAATTGGGGAAGGGAATCGGAATCCAGAAAGGGGTACACAGGGCTGTGCGGAGCACTTTTGTGCGGCAGAACACAGACCTAAAAGGTTGAGCAGTTGTCAGTTGACATGCCATGTGCTAACTAAGTGTTACTCACTGTAATTAATCCTCTGGCTGACTAATAGAGGAGCGCCCCATTCAAGACAGGATGCATGTTTTGGGGAACAGACCCTGGCTTTCCTAGGGAGTAAACAGGGTGGGTTGCAAAGTTGGTTTAAGCAACAGTATACGGGTGTGCGGGTGTGTCGTTTTGATTAAGCTCCATTTCAAAGTGGTGGCTTATGTCAAGCAATTTAGCGTTTCATCCATTTGGTGAGAAATATGTTTGGCCCATCCACAGCCTTGCTGTAGGATCTGTTGGGGTTGTGTTTTGGGAGACCCTTGACAACCATATCCCAATCCACGATCCCAACAACCACAGCCTGTTTTGCTCATAACACTTGTTGTTGTCCAGCGGTGGCGGTTAACACATCACAGGAAAGGTTAAAACGCAACAGCCTTTCAGCCGCATGTTGGTTTGTGTGTTCAGTCCCTGGTATCCCCAAATCTCCCAAAACCAACTGTGGCTATGCCAGCCTGTGAGCAAATGACACAAGGTGCCAATAACCTCAATCCAGGCTCATTGAGATGAGGACATTGACCGGAACACGGGACCCTGCACACCAGAGGGAAGATGTTCAATCTAACATGTCCATGTGCAGGACTCGCAGGACTTCTTAACTGTCCGTTTTGGAATGCGTCCGATCATCACAGACAGAAATGAGTAAGAAAGCAAAGCGCTCAGTATCCTTTTTTCAGGGTACATGGTGACACCATGTCAATGAGGATCGGGGGGGGGGGGGGGTAAAAAGGCCTCCTTCATCGCACAAGGCATTCCCAACACTCACTGGCGGATGAACCTCACAAGTTTGGCTGGGGTCGGTTGGCAGGTGAGGCTCATTGTGAGAGGTTACACACCCGAGCCACTATCACAACCCGGGTAGATGAAGGTTAGTAAGGGAGAGTCCCAGCCAGAAACAGCTGCGGCCGCCTTTGCATTTCCTTACATGACTCTGGGTCATCCATTTTAATACCAGGTTTTGATTATGACTCACGTGGAGTTTTCAGGTGACCAGGGATCTCCCTCCCTGAGTTGGTGGACTTGCATGTGAGCAGCTCCAAAAACCCTCCTTTACATCCCAAGCAAGGGTTGTGTCATAAGGCCCTGCGCAAGCAAAAACCCTGGACGGCGCAAGCCGGCGCAAGCACTTTTTGGGGAATGCTGTATAAGCACCCGCGTAAGCTCTTCTTCGTGATTGCTTGGCAAGCTTTGTAAGCATGCTGGGAAGCATGTGCTTATGTGTTTTTTGGTGGGGCTCATGCCAGGTGCTCTTGAAACCTTTACTAGGAAAAAGAAAGGCTTCAGAAACCGCGGATTTAGGAAAACTACAGGGGCTCGGGCGCGTAAGCTCGCTTAAGCAAGCGCGTAAGGTTCGCGTAAGCTCGCCTAGCTCGGCTGCCCGCTAGCCCTCGCCATGCATGCCGCCGCCGCAGAAGCCGTTTCTTGACCTGCAGTAAGAGCAACAACGCCAAGCCGTTGAAACTCGTGAGGGTAGTTCTTGGTCATGTTCTTCCTCAGAGTCATGCACATCATCTTGAACAGTTCTGGATGCGTAAGCTTAATATGCCTGCCGCGTAAGCTAAAACATGGGTCGCGCAAGCTCGCACGCAAGCAACCTAATACAACATAGGGATTGGTGGGCGGTTTATGGAGTCGCTCAAGTGAAAACCATGTTAGGCAAACAACAACGTTTGGACTGTGTTTTCGCCATCCCACTCAGGAACTGAGGAATTCAATAAATCCGTTCCTGCAGCGATGGTGTGCTCTTTGGCCGTGATAACTTGGAGCACTACTTCTATGTTTGGCCAATCCAACACTCCGCTCCCCCTTTCAGTGGATGTAATGTACTAATAAATAGTTCTTCCCCAAGCCCCTTCTGAAGCAGCGACCAAGATTTAAAGGAGGGCACAAGCAACACTAAGTACTATTTGTATTTCTATTGCGCCTTCCCAGGTTTTTGAAAGGCACAACGGAGGTACAAATAATACTTAGTGTTAGTTTTGCTCGTTGTGAGTGTGTGTTGAACGATCTGGTTATTGATCTGGCAAATTGCCATTTGGTGTTTGTGCCTGGCAAAGATGGAAACACAGTTGAACGCGGATGGAAGCGGAAGCCCCTGGGACCCTACAGCTGTATTAGCGGTTGTGAGTTTCTGTGCGATGAATGCCGGGGCATATGTTGTTGATAGAGAACGGCTTAAGTCTTAAGTGACTCCTAACATATCACTGAATCAGTGTCGTTTTGAGCTGCCGTCAACACTTCGGTGACGCTTGCATGCGCTTTGGGTCCCGGGAAAGGAAACAAAGATGACATTGGAACCAGTCACCTTCCCCTTTCCTTGAGCACATGTTTCCTTCCTTCAACCTCTGTTCCTTTCCACGGGAGACACTTTGTTTAGTCTTAGGTGTGACCAATCGCCCCAAAAAGAGCTTCTGGAAGCAACCGGGTTTCCTTTAAACCTACAAAAGGGAAGCTGATGAGGGTATGGAAGGGAAATAGAAGCTATGCCCACCAGCAACCCAACCCCTCAACCATTCAGAAACCCTCCCAACAATTTCCGGAACCCTACAAGTATCAGCTTCCCCCTAGTTTGATTGGGCAGTGTCCCCAGCGCGTCTGTTTGATTTTGGTTTTGCTCAAGGGAAGAACCACCAAGTTTGCCTCTCTGCTTTGAGGCGTAGGCCCTGCCGTGACGAACACTGTCAGCTCTGGCAGCTCCAACGCCGCAGGTGCTTTGGTTTGGGAGGGAAAGAAGCCTACGGCTGGTACCCAAGCGAGATGAAGTGGGAAACAGTTCTGATCAGTGCTGTACCTCTAGGAGTGGTCCGAAAGGTTCTGAAGAGGAAGGCCTTGTGGTCTTGGTGTTGCAAATCTGTGAAAAGCTTCGCGATGGAGGTGGAGAAAGTTATGTGTTAATTGCTGCCCCTCCAAAAAACATCGAGAGTATACTGTGTGTACATGAACATATTGATATGTGCTGTATGCAAAACTGCTATGTGTCCCTTACATTGTCTTTCCACACACTGCGTGGACTGTGTGTGTGTGTGTCCATGGTCAAGGCAAAGGTCGGAGGCTCACCCTGCGGATGTCGCCATGATTCAACTCGTCAATTGCAAAGAGACAACATTGTACCACACATGCTTCGGCCGTGCTTGGATGGCGAAGACAAGGCGGAATCTAGCCTGCGTCCGGGATCTGTTGCAAGTCAGCGGCAGCCAGCGTGCCAACGCCAAACCTCACCCCTTTGCTCCTGACGTTGCCCGACGTATTCTGGAGCAAGGCATGCACTATGGCGTGTTATGCAGGAGGTGGCGATTGGAGTTGGAAGGAGCCAGGCCCCATGTTTGTTGCAACTGATACTCACTAGCCCAATTAAAGTGAACGGCCATAAGGACTTGCCTCATCAGCTTGCAGCCATGTGGACAGATCAAAGCCATCAAGGTAAAGGATGTGTAGTGCATGATAGCTTTGCAGCTCTGACACAAGACACCCTACCTCAGGATCCATAGATGCTCGCCGAAATGGCTATGAAGAAAAATCTTAGAGGGAACCTTGCAAGTGGTTGGACCGGAATACCCCAAATGTCCACCAAGGCTCCGCCAACTTATTGCCCAACTGAAGAGATCCAACGCCCATCTCCAGGCCGCATGGAAAGCGTGGCGAGCGCCGCAAGCGCCCCAATTGGCGGGGCCAGTGGAACCAGCGGGGTGCGCCTGCCATGCTTGGGCATAGAATGCTCATTCAAGATTTGGATGGTCTCTTTTTTGGGGGGAGACCCCCAAAATGATTCGGTTCCCAGCATTTCTTTCGGCAGAACACGTTCTCAGTCTGGCCCTTCTTGTGCAGCAGTATCTCAGCGCGCGAACCGCTGCAGAGTGTGTGTGTGTGTGTGTCTGTGTGTGTGTGTGTGTGTGTGTGTCTGTCTGTGTGTGTCTCTGTGTGTGTGTGTGTGTCGTGTGTGTGTGTGTGTGTGTGTGTCGTGTGTGTGTGTGTGTCGTGTGTGTGTGTGGGTGGGTGGGTGGGTGGGTGTGTCTGTGTCTGTGTCTGTGTCTGTGTGTCTGTGTCTGTGTCTGTGTCTGTGCCTGTGCCTGTGCCTGTGCCTGTGCCTGTGCCTGTGCCTGTGCCTGTGCTTGTGTCTGTGTCTGTGTCTGTGTCTGTGTCTGTGTCTGTGTTTGTGTCTGTGTCTGTGTCCGTGTCTGTGTCTGTGTCTGTGTCTTTGTCTGTGTCTGTGTCTGTGTCTGTGTCTGTGTCTGCGTCTGTGTCTGTGTCTGTGTTTGTGTCTGTGTCTGTGTCTGTGTCTGTGCCTGTGTCTGTGTCTGTGTCTGCGTGTGTGTGTCTGTGTGTGTGTGTGTCTGTGTGTGTGTCTGTGTGTGTCTGTGTGTGTGTGTCTGTGTGTGTGTGGTTGTTGTTTTGGTGACAACGCTGTGCTGGTTTTGGACGCCAATACCGGACACCCAGGTTCATGAAGCTCGCCTATCAATTTATGCATGGGGGACAAGAAGCTCGAACAAGCAGCTCACATGGCATGGACATCAGCTAGTGTAGGCAGCAGGCCCAGCCTCCCTTGCACGGTCCATCTGCAACCTGCCACTGTTGCTCCCACAGCCGCTTCCGTCGCTTCAGAAGCAATTTTGGCTGTGTTTCAGCAACAAACGGGAGCTGCGAAAGCCTGGAATGCCTGGCAAATTGTCGTTACTTGCTGCGTTGTAAGTTGTACTGTTTGTGAAGCTGTGTGTCCTGTGTATTTTCAAGTGCTGCCCCGTTGAGCCATTGTGTGGGTCAATTCCTACAGGACAGTGGGAATGAACCGAACAGGAAAACCTTACAGCAGCGTCACAGCATGATCAATCCTAGTTGCGTTGTTGGTTGTTCCATTTTTTTGAGACGGACAATTCAGTCAAGTTGCAGCATCTGCAACAGGGAATTTGCCCAAGCAGGGGGAAGCCCACTTAGACATTTGGGAACAGAGGCTTCCATTTGCTGAAGAATATTTTGTATTTTCCCCTATTAGTCTTAAGGAAATCTATCACTGATTCTTTTTTAGAGGGATCAAGCAAATGGAAGGAGGGTGTGGATGACCACGACAAAGTTGTAGCAAAGGATGTGAGCCTGACAGGGGATCTGCCAATTTGATGGCTAGCTTTTCTGGCAAGCATGGATGACCGGTATGCCAACTGCGGTCAATCTTGGTAGCAGACAGCTTGTCCGCATTTGCTTTTCGATTGAATGCCTCTTGCGTCCGGGCTGGCAGCTCACACAGGCTGAAGGAACAGGTTCTCGGACTCGAAGCGTCTGGACCATGGACTCCTGAGCCTCAATGTGTTTCGTTTGGCTACATCACTTGCGTACGTCTGGGGCGATTTAAACCGCCAATGGTGGTGTAAAGTTTCTGTCTCTGAACAGGCTGCCCCTGCAGCAATTCCACTTAGGGCCGAGCAATGCCTCAGAAGCGGCTGACAGCATCTGTTATCTCTAGCGCCCAAAACCCTTATTTACATGTAGCAGGTGGTTCTAGTACCTGGTTTCATGGGGGTTGTAGTAAAGCCTGTATAAGCTTTGCACACCATGTTAGTAGCGCCAAAAATCAATGGGCTTTGAATCTTGAGTGCTGCTCAAGTTGAGGAAGCCTTGAAGATTACCTTTGATAGTTTTGAACCAGAGGGATGGACAAAGCTTGGGCTCTCAGCATAAAACACCCCTTGCGATTTGGAGAATCCCATCTTTCACGTCCTGTCAAAGGGCCTTTTTTTACCATGGTTGTTCGATTAATGACAGGGAATACCGTCAAATCTGCGAATTGATGCCCATGGCTGGCAGGACATGGTCTTGGCAATGGAAACAACCACACTTTGGAGCCCGAAACCACAAAGAATGCCATCCAGTTGATTACAAGTTGAGGCATCCCCTTCGTTGTTAGAACTACACACATTGACGAGCCAGGCACCGCCCCCGTCCACTGCATTGCGGGGCACGGAGACAGCCAGGCGGGCCAGTGCTTGCGAGAACCGACAAGCCAAGAAGTCCAAAACCTACAGCATCATGTCCGCATGTGAGCCACAATCAAAACCCGGGTAGATGAAGGTTGGTAAGGCACAATCCCAACCATAAATAGCTGCGGCCGCCTTTTTAATTCCTTACATGGCTCCGGGTAGACCATTTCAGGCCCGGGTTTTGATTGTGACTCATGGCCTGTCAGGGGAATCGTCACACTTTTCCGCCGCGTCTCACGAACCGCTTGCCACATCTCACACATGTAGTTCAGTCATCCCCTCACAGCAGTGTGAATGGAGCAGATTTAGAGGCTGACACGTGGCAGACGCAAAAGGAATCTATTATGTGGGTTTGCCCACAGAATGGGAGCCTCCAAATAGAGCGCATTGGTGAGTTCCTTTGAAGAAGCCCAAAGACATGGGCGGCCTTGTGCATCACAATGCGTATACATTGTTACATCTATGTGACATAAATGACTTATCAATATACCAGCAGCTGCGCAGGTGCTGTTTGAGCCGTGTTGTATTGTAAGTGTTTGTGCGTGTGTCCATGCATGCATGCATGCGTGCGCATGTGGTTGCGCTTGTGTGTGTGTGTGTGTGTGTGCGTGCGTGCGTGCGTGCGTGCGTGCGTGCGTGCGTGGTGTGTGTGTGTCTGTATGTGTGTGTGTGTGTGTGCGTGTGTGTGTGTGCCTGTGTGTGTGTGTGTTGTGTGTGTGTGTGTGTGTGTGTGTGTGTGTGTGTGTGTGTGTGTGTGTGTGTGTGTGTGTGTGTGTGTGTGTGTGTGTGTGTGTGTGTGTGTGTGTGTGTGTGTGTGTGTGTGTGTGTGTGTGTGTGTGTGTGTGTGTGTGTGTGTGTGTGTGTTTGTGTGTTCGCGTGTTTGTGTTTTTGCGTGTTACCGTGTTTGCGTGTTTGCGTGTTTGCGTGTTTGTGTGTTTGCGTGTTTGTGTGTGTGTGTGTTTGTTTGTGTGTGTGTGCTTGTGTGTTTGCGTGTTTGCGTGTTTGCGTGTTTGTGTGTTTGCGTGTTTGTGTGTGTGTGTGTTTGTTTGTGTGTGTGTGCTTGTGTGTTTGCATGTTTGCGCGGTTGTGTGTTTGTGGTTGTGTGCTTGTGTGTTTTTGTGTTTGTATGTTTGGTTGTTAGTGTGTGTGTGTGTGTGCGCTTGTGTGTGTGTGTGTGTTTTGCATGTTTGTTTGTCTGTGTGTCTGTGTTTATGTGTGTGCGTGTGTGTGCGTGTGTGTGTGTGTGTCTCTGTGTGTGTGTGGTTGCATGTTTGTGTGTCCGTGTTTATGTGTGTGTGTGTGCGTATGTGTTTGCATGTTTGTGTGTCTGTGTTTGTTTTCGCGTGTGTGCGTATGCGCTGTGTGTGTGTTTGCTTGAATTCGAAGGAATGCAATCAGTGGAGGTGACATCCACAAAAGAGAAGGATCTTCCCACCAGTCTTCTGGTTTTGGTTGTTTTCAGGGCGCATTATGTCTTCCGCCTTGCTTGTCGCGCAAAGCTCTTGCAGGCCGCGTGCCGCGAGCGCAACTCCCAAGGCGGGTTGTAGAAGGATGCTCAGGGTCGGCTCATAGCGGGATCGACATGAGTAGTGTGTGTGTGTGTGTGTGCGTGCGTGTTTCTTTTGAGGGTACCCACTTATATAGGGTCGACTTACAGGGGCACCACAAGGAACGCCAAGATCCATTTTTGGGGCACCCCTATGTTTGACACATGCCCTTTACTTGGGGCCGCACATGGATTCGACTGATATGTGTTTTTTGGTCAGTTGCATATCTATATCTGTGCAACTCGCTTTGCTGCGTGGTGGATTTCAGCGAGAGCTGCCTCAAGTTGCTGCCTCAATTGCAATTTTTCCAAATGAATCGCATGGGACCGTACTGGTTGTGTCGACACACCCATGAATCATCACGTTTGTTTCGAGATTTGTTGTAACCCGAATGGTCCAAGTACCTTCTTAGTAGGTACAGTGTCCCCTTTTAACCCCACAAAAACCATCCTCGAACTTGAACCCTCCCGGATGTGTTGGTTTTACATCTAGACCATGTAGACCAGCCACAAATCAGCTACAAACCAGTTGGTGTAGGCCAGCAACAAACCAGCCGTGATGCCACGGGCCACTTATATGACGGGCCGCCTTAGCGCCTCACGCGCCAAGGTGTCTGCCACAGAGGAGGCCGAATGACTTCTTCGCTTCGAGCGGAAACGCACGAGAGACAGTGACTTTCACATCTATCTCAAGGTTACTCAAGGCACCGTTGAGTGGCAAGTTGCGAGCAGTTTGGTGTTTTTTGTGTTTTCTTCTGTTTTTCCCCCCAACAGCTGAAAGCTTTGGGGTCTCCGCCCAGATAGGCTCCGGGGTGGTATGGGGCGGCCCTGAGGTGAGGTTCCACCAGGGTTCCACCAGGGTTCCATCAACCAGGGTTCCATGAAGTCCGCATGCTGTTGGGGATATCACCTGAGCTTATCTTGTTTTCCGATTTTGATAAGGTAGCAGAAACCAGGCGTGTGAGGTTTCACTGAGTTGAATTCCCTACAAGCGACTCTTGCTTGACACTCATCCCATGGTACACTTGTCCCCGAGATTGATACGACTGACAGTTGCATGGGATCCTGGGTGCAACGAGTTTCGGGGCGAATGAGTTTGCAAAAAGTGGGTGGTTCCGTTGATTTCTCTTTACCTAAGAAGATAGCCACGAACAAGACCGCATTCACCGGAACTGCGGTGACAATTCCCGCCCTGATTTCGGGGCCATGGGAATTCCATCCCTCATCATTCCATGTGCTGAAACGAACATGTTGTATTTTCCCTTGGCTTTGAAGGGAATCTATCACACGCAGCAATGTGTACACGGGGGCAGCAATGTGTACACGGGGGCATCCCATGTTTTTCTGCAAGCAAATGGAAACCTCCCATGATCCCCGCGGCCTCCATCGCCAGGTTAGAGAGACCCGGAGCTGGCGCCTCAAATCCGATGAACGCGCAAATCCGCGGATCGATCCGGGTGGAACGGATTTGCAAATTTGAAGCATTTGGTGTCCCCCTACTTAAAGGGGCAGGGTACTTAGCAAGTGGTTAACCATGGTTATAACCCACTTAGACTTATAACCGTGGTAAGTGGGTTATAGCTAACCCACTGAGACTCATAACCATGGTAAGTGGGTTATAGCCAGCCATGGTTACGAACCACTTACAAAGTCCCCTGCCCCTTTAAGTACTTGCTGCCATCTGTCCCAAAGTCCAGAGACATGGTGTTGAAGGTTTCAAGTTGGATTGGCATGATTTCGCACAGCAGGCAAGGCACATGAACAAGAAAGTTTGTGGGCGAGTCGCGGCTGTTGATGTCATGTTGTTTCTGCACCTCCCGATTCTCCGCCCGAACAAGCCGGGGTACGCCGGGTACTCCTGGAAAGGTGGGTCCAAAGCCATCCAAACCCAAAAGCATCAATCAATGCAGACAGACGAGCTACCCGGCTGGAGCTTTCACACGCACGCAAATCGGAGGATTAGACGGCCGCGTGGAGCGAATCTTCGGGGACGGCCGGCGCGAGGCAGGGCGGCAGGAAATCTCTTCACCGCTATCCGCAGCTTGTCTTACAACACAAGCAATGCGTTGCTTTGCTTCAAAATCCAAGTATTTTTGTAGAGATGGGCTTTGACCAGTGTTAGGTTTTGAAGTATATCCTCGGCCACTTGGACCCTAAGGAGTTGGGGGATTTGCTACGAGTTGCAGCCTTTATTGGATTATCCCTTGTTGGTACACATTGACGGACTGTTATTATCTCTTCTATTGGAAGTGACAAGTTGTTTGCTGAGAACAAAAATACAGTGGTTTTTTTTCACTCACGCTGCATGAGGGTTAGTGTTGCTGGCAACCCATCACCGAATTGGTCAAGTCTTGGTTCCTGTGAGTGCGAGCGGAACTAGCTTGCCAATCAGGAGAAATATCCGTTTGAAATGCTCAACATGACTGCAGGAGGACCAATTCTTTCACCAGTTGGACATGGCTCGTGTCGAAGCAATCACACTATATTTTGGATACACGAAGCGAGGAGAAACGAGTGACCACCTACGGGTATGGTGTCCTTTTGCAGTCTAAACACATACCCATTAAATGAGGTTCGCTTAGATATAATTTGTCTATGGTCCAGTTAAAAAGGACACTGAGAACTCCCTAAATTCCCATCGGCGACCAGGAAAAACTTGCACATGCTTCCATGGCCTTGCGCGAAGCGCATAATATGCGGTAGTGTACTTCGCGTACTAGACTTGTACTACAAAGTTGCGAATTTCGAGCTGGAGCTGCGGAAGTGTACTTCGCGTACTAGACTTGTGCTAGAAAGTTGCGATTTTGGAGCCGGATCTGCCAAAGTTCGAAAACACTGTAAAACGATAAGGTCTCCCCCAAAAACGATAACGTTAAAAAAAGTACTAAGGCCAAGTAAAGTGTTTCGTCCGCTCCTCATATCTTCACCGCTCATTTGTCGTTGATGGCGTGCCATTTCCACGCAGGTGGAGTTCTCCAATGGCCTGAAGAAGGTCATGTGGCCGGCCGACCCGGCACAGATTGCCTGCAGGGCACAGATTGCCTGCAGGGCAACAGACTTCAGCGTGATCCGTTCTAGGATGTTTTTGTTGATGTGTTTGCTTTTTGTATGTGCCTTTGTTTTTGCATCTTAGCTGGGTCAAGGTTTGGTACCATTTTTTAATGTTTGCCCTTTACTGAAATGATGAGTCTGGCAAAGATCACAATCCTGGGTTTATGTTTTAATGTTGACCAAGTTGAGGTCCACTAAGTATGAACCACAATCTAAACCTCATATGTTCGGTTTGGCGAAAGCTGCGGCGTTGATTGAATCGGCCGCACCGACGACTAGCGAACAGCCTGTTTTTCTTTTTGTGGGCCTGGTTAGAAGGTGCAGGCGTTGTTGTTCCATTTTTCCAACATTGTTTCAGGTTGCGGCACTTGAGAGTCCTTAATGGCTCCTCATAGTCACTGCAGCTGGCATTAGGCTCGAAAGCTCCCCTTGCGACTCTGAATAAAATATGAAGAGGGTTGTGTCCTTTGCCAAAGGTGCAATGCGAACCTTGAAACCTCCTGGGTATACCTTCCCAATTGGAAACTAGAATATATTTATATATAAACACTATTATATATACACATCATTGTGCCACCAATGCGAACATGGCACCGTTTTCTATACACCTGCCACGGAAAACAAGTGAAAAGACCCCAACACCGGCAACATGCTTGTTGCGTGCAAGGCATCAACCCTCCTTCCCCCACCCCCATTTTAGGGAAACTATCGAGACGCCGCTTGCCAGCTGCCTTGCATGCGACCATCAAGTTGGGGCTCTTTCTGGCTAAGTGAGCCGCGCAGTTCTCAATTCACGACTGTTCTCCATCGGATTTTCGCTGGGTGACCACGAAGCCAGGCTTTTGGAGGGGCTCGTTTTTGGCAACCCGTTGAATCTCACAAGCGATTCCCAGAAAGGATGTCCCAGAGCCAAAGGGCAGAGTGGGAAACTAAACAGCCGAAGGGCCCTGGGCATTTTCATTTTGAAACCTGTAGTTCGGAAAAACCGCGTTGCATTCAGGTGTTGTTTGAGGCTCAGGGGAAGCCTGCCTTTCCATAGGGAGGGATGCCAACATTTATTTTTGGGTGCACATCCCTTTTTTTAACACACCCGTTTAGCTGCCGGTTGAACATCCCTTTTTTGGGGGTTGCAAATCTGTTTTTGACACATACCCGTTTCAGCCTGGCGTTGAAACCTCACGTGTCCAGTTTTCTCGCCAGGATGGCCAGACCTCCGTGATGTTCCAGAACGGCGACCTCAAGGAGATCCGGGAGGACGGCGTCGTCGTGTGCCGGGCTCAGATGTCCTTTGGATGTCCTTCATTACATCCCAGTTGCCCAGTGGTGCCCTTGTTTCCATTTTTTGGGGAAGGCTTCCCCTGTAAAGTCAAGCAAGTAAAAAAGTTGTTTGTTTCCCCGCAGATTTTATGAATTGAACCCACAGCTTCATTTAGATGTTGTGAACAAAATTAGATGGTCTATTCCACAACACTCGAATCATTGGAAACTGTGGGCTTGTTCAATATTAATTACGGGGGTTGGCAGCAATCGATTCGGGAGCTACGCAGGTTGTATACCACTTAAAGGGGAGGACACCTCCAAACCGGCTGCAACCAGTTTCAAGCGCCAGGCAAATGCTCGAAGTGGGTCAGTCAGCTAAGTGGGCTTGCAAGATATAGCCTGCCTGCACTGTATCGACGCGACTTCAAGCACAGACCGAACAGGACCAAAATCGAAGCCTTGTCTCATGGCAAGATGGCCTGTGCAAAGCTCAACTGCATATTCATTTGGTCCACCTCCCACTAGGCAGGAGCATCACGCCAGGCGAATCCGAGCGCAACCACGTTCATGGCCTTCACCTCATCCTGGCCTGACCCATCTCTCCTTCCGCTCCATGCAACCGGAGCTTCCGACGCAGCCACTCCACTGGCATCTTCGGGCCAGTGGCTTCGTTCACAATGCAGACATCTGAAACGGGAACTCAGCACGCTCAGCCCTGGAATGCAGTCGCGCATTGACTGCCACCATGTATCAATTGATTGAGTGCCTGTCATCAAGGTAGCAGGCTGTTTGTGGGTATCTTTTTTCTTTGCGACAAGCGCAGCAAGATCACACTTGCACTGCTTCCGACACTGCGTGCACTGCTTACGACACTAAACCATGTCGTTAACAGGATCTAGGTTGCACAGTGCCCAAACTGCAGCACGCCTCCCTCAGTCAACATGGGATGCTCATTACTTTACCCCTCCCCCCAACTCTTCGTCCCGCTGAATCGGCTGAGGCTCTCACCTGTGCAACAGCCAGAAACAGTTGAACATTGCCAGGTTTTTAGACAGCCTGCTTTCTCCAAAAACCAAACCTGAAAATGCGGCACAAGGTGGAGCCGTGGATGGACCACGGGGCCATATGGTTGACAGCCTCCCATTTGCCCAACGTGACTTTCCAACTTGACATCGTGGAATTCGGCAGAGGTTGGGGAGGGGGTCTCATTTCCACCACAGTACCCGGAATTTCTCATGTCCATAAGGAGATCGCTTCTTTTGCACCCATGGGCAGGCTTTGTCTCTTGAGATCCCGTGGAACTGGGCCGATTGTACTTGCACCCTGGGTTCTGGATTGGAACTTCTCATCTCTAAGCTTTTGCGACCCATCGCTTCCGGTTCCGGCGAATGTCATCGAGGTACCACTACCGCGCCACCGGCGCAGTACAGACGACCCTCACCGACGGCACCGAGCTCTACCAGCGCCTCGGATGGGTTCGGAGCGTGGAGCTCAACGCTTGGTTCGAACCTGGGGGTGTCGTTGTGGGAAACACCTTCTGTGGTTGCGTGTTGGTCTTGCGAAAAGACCCATTCGGGGATGACGCGTCAAAACAATGGAGCCCCAACATGGGGTGTCCTTTCGGTGTTTCCTTTCACCTTTTCAATTCTGCGTAAAGACACAAAGCTATGGCCGTTGGGGTTCCCATTTCCAGAATCCTTCAGCGATACGTCGCGTTCGGTTTCCGCCAACATTAGGCCCAGGTCCACTGGCTTCTCGTGTCCCCCGCAATAAGACCGACCCCAAAAAGACTGAATGGTCAATTTCGACATCTACTGCAATAAAGGGGACGGGAGAACAGTTAAAACACTCATTAAAATACCAGAAGAGGAAATAGGGGCTGTTTCTCACCAAGATTCCATGTCATTGGGGAACAATGAGTATTGGCTGTGGCTCATATAGCTCCCACAAGAATTGTTCACGGATGTGTGCAAATTACAATGACCTTACGTATGCAACAATCAAGACTTACCGTAATCCACTGTGGTGAAGGGGATGGATGACATGGGTCACGCTCACCAAGTTATTGGGAAATGGGGGAAGGGGTACCCAGCAAATGCCCATGTCAGTTGGGGACACAATGAATGCTGACTGCTCACTTGAGGAATCGCCTTTTGCTTGGAATTATAGATGATTGAGTATTAAAGTTCCAATTGACCAATGCTTGATGTGTAAAGCTAGGGGGCTTTATGGTAGGCGTCCTTTTGGTTTCCCTTCAAACCCACCTCTTTCCACGGTACTGCGCAAAAAAAAGAGAAACACAGCGCCGCGTTTGAGGTTCAATGACGGCCAGACCGAGCGCCACTGCGGGGGGCCCCAGTTTGTTTACTCGCAGAAACAGGACCTGGCTTCGGACCGAATTGTTCAGCTTTCTGTTTAAGCACTACCGTTTGGGCCACTAGTTGAGCTTCCTCTTGGTGGGCTGATGTCTAAGCGAAGGTTTTGAGATTTTGAGAGTAGCTGGCCTAATTCCAACCCATTTCAATGCAGGGCTGTTCGCTTACCCACATAAAGTTGTCACCCTGGGACCAAAACCCTTTTTGTTTGGTGGCACGAAAAGCCGTCAACCAGTGGATCTCGACACCTTTCAAGTTTCAATAGTTGGTCTGATGCTGGTTCTCTTTACATTGGTCTTTGCTGACCTTTCAACTGTCTGCCTTTGTGGTGTAAATCTTGTCAAGCGGAACATGGGTCCTAACAAGTCCTTAGTTGGTTTCATACATCATCCCAAAAGGGGACCTTGAGAAACACCAACATTTGGCTCCGAACCTGAGCTCGAGGCCTCGACGGGTCCAAGGAGATTCGCAGCTCGGCGACGTTGGTTGCTGTGTTTGCGCCGCGCACGGCGCACGCGGGAAGAAAGGAAACGGTCCATGTCGTAGTCAAGAAACCCTCTTGGAATGGCCGGGGGGGAGGGCCTTTTGATTTTCTTGCTGGAGGGAAACTCTGGGAAGTTTTCACATCGCACACCTGAATATGTACTTTTTGAAGGTGCCATTTTCGTTGGTTGGCAAGGGAAGCCGAAAGGAAACCACTTGTTTGGTTGACCATCCTGTAAGCAGAAGAAATGTGGGAAGCACCTTGTTTCTTCTGAAGAAACTTTACCCACTCCCTGAGTTCCTGGACTTCCAACTTTTCGAGCAACAGTTTGGTTACTTGTTGGCCAATCCGCTCAGGAAGTGAGTGTCTCATTCTTGAAAGACGGTTCCCATTTTGGCCTAAGATGCAAAGATGGGTTGTGCTTCAACAAATATCAACGCCAACGCCCAGGAGGGCACTCAAAAAAAAGGGAGTGCTCGCAACAGCGGGTCCTTGCAGGGTTTTTAGGAAAACCAGCTGCGACAAGTGGTGGACCCCTTTTGGTAGGTATGTCAAGGAGACGACCCCTATTGTGAGAAAGACCCCCAAGCTTTTGGCGGATGCGATCTGAGGCTTTCCCAATGGGACCACCAAGAAGATTTTCGACGACGGGTCCGAGGAGGCCCATGAGGGAACCGAAACGCGGCTGGACATAAACCCCCCACGAAACAGCTCTAATGTCCAAAGGCTCCCGCGAAATGAAACTTCACCTCATTGGCTCGGTGCCCTTTTCTAATGGAGAACCATGGGAGGGTTCCCCCGACCTGATCAAAGTTTACTGTACCTTTTCATCGCGTTGCGGGCTCGGACCTGAACCGTTTTGGTCAGACTGAAGTTGGGAATACATCGATGTATCGGCTACAGCACGGAAAGATGGTGGGACAAAAGGGCCAAAGTGAAATGCTTCAACAGCGAGCACGCCGTCCAAGAAACGTTTTTGTTTTTTCGAGATTGGCAAGGAGCAGTTGGTCAAACCCCCTCGAGAGTTGCATGAGCGAAGCTTCTTGACGGATTGCTGGCTTGTTTTCAAACGGAGAACCTCGACAAGTGGATGGGTGTCCTTTGGTTCCCCTTTAAGCCAACCTCAAAAAAAAGATCCCCTCAAAAACAGACACCCGCGTAGAAGTTTGTCCAACACTGGGCCGAGGGAGCATCATCCTGAAAAGCACTTGTTCAGGGTATCCCTTGGCGTGTAATCAAAAGGAAGCCAAAGGGACACCGCATGCCGAAGCCAACTGGATTGTTACTTGGCAGAAGGTTCCTCTGAGATCAGAGGATGGCTTCAAATCCCGTAGCGGATCAAGCACAGGACTGTGACTGGTGCTTAAGCAGCAAAATTGGGCCATGTGAGGCATCCCCAATGCGGGGAATGACTGCTGTGCCGTGCATATGCTGTGCATTTCCCATGCCACACACAAGGAGCCTTTGACGTATGTATTCTGTGCCATATGTGCTTCCATGCGTGCGCATCGCTCCTGGTGAAGGGCAAGGGAAGACACTGATCGACTTGGTAAAAGGCGACAAGCCCCACTTTCCTACGTGTGCGTCTATTTGGGGCAAATCTGCTGCAGGTTGGTTGCATGTGTGCCAAGTCCAAACATGCTTTGTCCCTCCTTGATTATACGATGGCAGTATGGCAATATGGGTCTGTGTTTTTTGTGGGTACCGGTTTTTGTGTGGTTGGTTGAAAGGGGAACCAAAGGGAAACCTACCATTGTGGGTGTCCCCTAAAAAGACACACCCGTATGTAGCATGAAATTGGACCGCAATTTCGGAAAGCATCTTGGACCAGCCAACATCCCGCTTGCTGCGTTGTGATGCGGCCATAAAGTAGGCAGGACGGGTTTTCTGTCCTGCCAAAAAAGGAGGCTTTTAACCAACTAGTCAAAGGGCACTTTGTGTGAGGCCTTTTTAAAGTGGCCCCTGGTTTGTTACGCGGGTTGCAGGAATTCCCAACTAGCAACAGGATTTGCAGAAGTCACCGAAATGGCCCAGAAGCAACATTTGTCAACGAGCAAGTGCGGGATTCTGCAAGTATGCTGTGCTTTTTGGATGTCCAAAAAAACAAGACGCGATTCCACTCCTTTTTGAGGATTAGTTGTTGGATGGTCACGAACCTTGGACTGCATTCTAAGGAACCAACAGTTTGTTTGCAAGAAGCACGATCAAGGTAGATGCCAGAAGTCTTGACCTTAACCCGAAGGCTAACCCCCCTGACCCAAAACCTACCCGACTCCAGCCCAAGCCCAGCTATTTGCTATCTCCAGGTCTGCTTCGCAGACGGAACCATGAAGCGGACCTCAGCCAAGTGACGGATCGGCATGGCTTCTCTGCCGAGGGATCTACCCGAAATCTCGCGCCAACACCGCCCCGAAAGGGAAATCCCGTGACAGACACCCGGGCGCAAATGGCTGTGGGTCAAAAAAGGTAAGCAATATAGAACCCTGGTAAATGGAACCAAGGATTAAAACCTGCGGTTCCCCGGTGGTTTCATTTTGACCCATACCCAAATGAGCTAGCGCCCGTTTAGAAGTGGCACCCTTTCCTTTTTGACCTAATCTCGTACCTCAGAAGCAACAGCGGCAAAGGGACAAGGTAGCTGCTCCAGGATGGTTTGCTTCTACTTCCCAGCACAAGGAGTACCGGTTGTCTTACCTGTTGCATCTCCTGTCTATGACTCATGCATGTACACAAAACACCTCTGGGTTGAAACCTATTGACATCGAGCACCCAAGGAACGCATCCTGAAGTGGAGATAGCCCTATGCATGTTTGTGTTATTCATGAGAGCAGGCCCAAATGTGCAGCACTGTTGAAAGTTGAAGATCGGCTATTTATTGAAACATGACTTTGTGCAATTGCAGCAGGTTCTTCCTGTAAAAGGGCACGTCGATGCCACTGCCACGTTCCCAACTGCAAGGGTGTTACAGGATCCTGTGCAAGCAACTGTGCACTCCAGCCGAAACATTCCTAACGCGACTGGCTCTGCTTTCGCATTCTGGTGTCTCCAACTTAGATGTCAAGGGCGTGTACGAATTGTTCATGCTGTAAAGGTTGAATTTAGACCCCAAGAAGGAGCCGAGAACCATGGCCGATAGTCTGAATCGTGCGGGTGTGGGGGTGAGATTGCGGCTGCCTGAGAAGCCTCATCTTTAAGTTCTGCTCACCGCAGCCCTTTGACGGCGCTTGGAGGTTCAAACGAGTCGGAACCTCGCCATGTTTGCAGATCACGCTTGCTGATTTAGCGGAAGCATGTCAAAGCTGTTCTTGGACAAATGTGTGAATGTTTTTGTTCGACCAATATATGAATGTTTCCTTTCAGGATCCCTGGTTTTGGCCAGAGTCTTCCCAGCCTGACACAGCTTGGGTTTTGCAATAAAGGATGCTAGTCTGACGCATGGTCGTGGAACTCGGTGGGGGGGGGGGGTAGGTTGCCACGTTCTGTGATATTTTTGGGCAATCCGCTTCATAGTGATACAGCCATACGCATGACCCATATTGGTATCACAGCAAGGGCGATGTCCCGACATGCGGAGGATAAACATCAGTGTATCCATGTTGCAGCGATGCGTGCCTTTGAGGATTGCTTGAGTGTTTCTCTATTGTAGAATTGTTTTGTTTATATGGTTGTCGTTGGGAAACATTTTACATTTTTGCTTGTTGTAGTTTAGCGAGAAATCCCCACTTAACTGCTAAATTTTAAGTATCTGTGCGTCCATTTCTTTCGCACAAAGTAGCTTGATGCCGCTTGCTGCCGGGAGAGCACATGTAGCTTACCGCGATGCATATGCCATCCGCGATACTCCGAGCCTTTTTCCCGCCGCTCTGCACGGTTGCCCCGTGTGATCTCTCGCACACGGTTCTGTTGTTTTCTTCTGCAGTGAGTTGCAAGTGGAACCATTTTGCCCGTGTTGGCGGACCATGGCGCTTGCTGAAAAAGCGGGGCTGGGGAAGAGTGACCCTTTGCGGTCCGTGGGAAGGACGGGGGAGCGTTCCTTCCCATTGGGTGCCGGCCGGACCGCAAGGTCTCGCAAATGTGAGCACTGGAAAGTAGGGTGGGGCCACCCAGTGGTTTAAACATGTTTAAACCACCGGTCATGATGACTCTTCCCTTGTAAAGGTGGTGTTTAAACCATGTTTTGCCCAACCCAGCTGGATAGACGTCCCGTTGCTGCTTTCCCAATTTTTGCTGGAGGCAGTCACTCGTGCCACGGTGGCAAACGCTGCGGCGCCGCGCACTCGCGCCGATGCAGCCCCGAATCAATCCGCCGACTCGCGCCGGCTTTGCAAAGCTCGAGGGGGAGAAAAGGCGATGCAGCGAGATGCTTTTTGCGTTTCTCCAAACCTGGATCGGGACTTGGAGTTTTGCTGAACGTGCTTGCAGCCTTGTCATGGCTGGACTTTGCGGCCTTTTGCACGGCTCGGATCGCAGACACAGCAGGAACAAGATGCCAATGCCGACAGAGGGCTCAATCCTAGAGCTACGCCACCAGATGCGCTGGCTGCCTGGTTCCCACCCACCCTCGTGCTCACCCTGTGCCCCTCTTGCGCATGCGTGCGTGCGCGACTGCGTGCGTGCGCGCATGCGTGACTGCGCGCGTGCGTGCGTGCGTGCGTGGGCAAGCGCACGCCAAAAGCCAATCAGACGAAGACCGCATCCCCGGCATCTCAGCCCCGGTAGACACCCGTGAAAAATGACAATCGCGGAATTTGCAATGTGTTCCGCGTGACGGAACAGCTTTCGTGGAATCCCCCATCGCTGGATCGCACGCATACCCGCAGGATGCCAGAGATGCTCGGGATGCTGGCAAGCCCGGATGCTGATGATGCAGGAGGATGCTGGGGAAGTTGGCGAGGATGTAGGGATGTTGGCAGGGATGCTGGCCACTGTGGTTGGCGATTTTGATTGTATTGACAGTGTTTTCGGAAGGCGGAGCCCTGGAATTTCAAATTCTGTACTAAATGCGGTGTCACATAAAAACAAAGTGTGTTTCTAAGACCATGTTGTTATTGTTCAAAGCTTGCTTCAAAAACACAACTGCGAATTTAGGTAGAGATATGGACCTTGCCGTTGCCCAATAATAAACTTTAGTTCGGCTCAGCCATTCTTTTGCACGATGGCATGCAATAAATCATACACCACGCTTTGACCTTGGGCCAAATCGCTTCATGCCAGAATGACAAAACAAGCCAGCCACATGATGAACCTTTGACTTGTGGTGAGCTAACCTGACATCCAGCTATGAGGTGCAGAATTTAAGAAGGCCGCCCGGTTGCACAGAGTCTGCGCACTGGTAGCTTGATGCCCAAACAATCAAAACTACTCTGCGTGAGCCCACCGCCAGACTGTTTGGGAACCAACGTCCAAACTATCAAGCATATTGTATATATATATATATGTATATACATATATATATATATATATGTATGTATGTATATATTATAGTTATTGTGTGTGTGTGTTGCCAATTTGCATGTGGTAGTGTTGGCACAAAACGCAAGCAGTCTTTTACGGGCAGAAACGGTGTTTCACGGCAAGCGACAATGTTTCACGAAAACTTCACGGTAGTTTCACGCTATTTGGAGGACAGCTCATACTAGAGCCCAGCAAAGTATTTTCACTGATGACTTATCGTCGCAATATGTTCAGAAGGATAGCTTAACGAGAGTGGAGTCTCAGACTATGCGGTACAAATTGCTTTGAATTTTGCGCTCATTGCACTCCAACGCAATCCTTCACTAGCTATCTATTATGCGATGCAAACTTTGGCATGCTCAGTTACGCGATACCGTCCAGATAGGGGAGCTCACAGGTCGGTTCAGCTGTCATTCTCTGGCTGATGCGGATCAGCGCAAACTGTACCAATTGCACTCTAAACTTGATGTTGTAAAGTAAATATATGTTTAAACACTTGACTCGCCGGACTGTCCCAAAACCCTCAAGGTCATAGCCAAAGTGACCGTCTTGAGGCCAAAGAGCAATTATATTGGCGGGAGGTCTTCAAAATAATGCCATGTTTCACACACGGCTGTTACTGGCACAAAAGGTCGTTCCGAATCGACCATTGTAAAAACGGTCGATGACGTCCAGGGGGGCAACATGATATCAGCAGCAGCAATGCAGCGGCAAAAGCCGGTGGGGTCCAGATGCCAACAACATTTGTCAGCAGTATACACTGCGGGTAGTGGTTGTGGCAGGTATAGCTGTAGGCGGATTGCTGCCGACTCTTGCAGGACTGCATTTGCAGGCATGAGTCTCACCAAGTCACATAGGGCATCAGTGCTTTGCACACGCCTCTTGGCATTCGTTGTTGTCACTTTGTTGCCATGAACATTCAGCTCCATCTTGCGGATAAGGCTCAAGCGCAAAGTCGCTGCGCGGGAAAGAGCGCAGTTGCTGCCTGAAAAATGGCACCTTGGGAAATCAAAGCTAGTAGTAAAATGTGGTTGTTGTGACTGTATGATAGGCTTGTTGAATGCAATGGTTGGCGAGCTATGGAGAACATGCGTGGATGAACGGGGAAAGTTCTCATTCAAATCTGCGTGATGTGTCGTGCTAGGCCGCCCTGTTCGGTGGCAGGGTCTTGAGCTTGGCTCATCTTAAGTGATCACGACTGTTTTGAAGTGACACGAGAAGTGATTGCGCATTGTGTGACGTTCCTTTGCCAAAGCCAGTGCAAGAATGTAACTGGAATGTCTCAGGCAACGCATATGATCGGCCAAGACAAATGCCCACCAAGGACACATTGATCCCAGGCGTTTCAGCTCCAGTTTTCTGAGGCGCATGGTGGATACCGCAAATCTTAGCGTCACATCGCAGTGATGGCGCGCACGTTGCACGTTCTGCACGCTGGCTTTCTGGCCAGCAGCTCAGCTCCCCAGTTGCCCAGCTTGTTTTTTTCTAGTATGTTTTATGATTATCATCAGTAGCAGTAGCAGTAGTAGCAGTAGTAGTGGTAGTAGTAGTAGTAGTAGTAGTCGTCGTCGTCGTCGTCGTCGTCGTCGTCGTCGTCGTCGTCGTAGCAGTTCTAGTAGCAGCAGCAGCAGCAGTAGTAGTAGTTCTATTAAGCAGGCAGTAGCAGCAGCAGCAGCAGTAGTAGTAGTAACGGTATTTGTTTTTCTTTTTCGGATGGGTGTCCCCCAAAATCAAGCAACGCAAGAAGGGTGGCCTTGTTTCCGAATGCCTCTCCGAGTTTCCAAAAGCGAGCTATTCTGGAAGTCTTCCCCAACAATGGAGCCCCTGGCCAGTGCATCGGCGCCGCAACAAGTTAAGAACGGTGGGTTTCGAAATCTCCAGACTCGCATCCTTCCTTCGACAATCATGCAAGCTGACAGGATGGTTTGGCAAGATCTTGTTCCTTCCAAATTTTAGGAAGAGGCTGAGTTCC